GGAAAACCCGAAGAGCCCGATAAACAAACTCCAGGGGCTGCTGCGATTTTAAATTGTCGGAATTAAACCTCCCGTCAGAGGCAATTTATGTCCAGGGTAGCCGTGCCATTAGTTAAGCCGGAATCCCAATCGCTGCGGAAGGGACGGAGGCGGACAGAAACAGTCGGGGACATTAATTGCGTGTGGCAACAAGGCCCCCACCTCCCCTAGATCACTGCTAGAGTTCATTACATTGATCATTAGCCGGGAGCCAGACGGGACACGGAGGCTCTCGGGGGCGTCGGAAAGGAAAACAAGCCGAGCCGTCCAAACCAGGGGAAAAAATTAAAAATAAAAATGAAGAGCTTTTGAGAACTGCATCTCTGATGCATCTTTGCGGGGGGGGGGGGGCAAAAATCTGGGGAGGGTTCCTCAGAGAGTCGGCCAAGATGAACAGAGTTGGAAGGGACCTTGTAGGTCATTTAGTCCAACCCCACCACCCAAGCGGGAGTCCCTACACCATTTCTGACAGATGGCAGTCCAGGATCTTTTTGAAAGCTTCTGGGGATGAAGCTCCCACAGAATAATAGTAGATAATAATAGATTAACAGAGATTGAAAGGAACCTTAGGAGGTCATCTAGTCCAACCCCACCATCCAGACCCCCTACACCGTTTCTGACAGATTGGCAGTCAACTCTCTTCTTGGAAAGCCTCCAGGGATGATGAAGCTCCCACCGTTTCTGAATAACAGAATAATAACAAGAATGGGAAGGGACCCTGTAGGTCATCTAGTCCAACCCCCTGCCCAAGCAGGAGTCCCTACACCATTTCTGACAGATGGCAGCCCAGTCTCTTCTTCAAAGTCTCAAGTGATAACCCTAATGAGGCCCTCAATGAAATTGATAACACATAACGGATAACAGATAATCAAAGTTGGAAGGGAATTTGGAGGTCATCTAGTCCAACCCCACCACCCAAGTGGGAGACCCCTACACCGTTTCTGACAGATTGGCAGTCAACTCTCTTCTTTGAAGGCCTCCAGGGATGAAGCTCCCACCGTTTCTGAATAACAGAATAATAACAAGAATGGGAAGGGACCCTGTAGGTCATCTAGTCCAACCCCCTGCCCAAGTAGGAGTCCCTACACCGTTTCTGACAGATGGTAGTCCAGGATCTTTTTGAAAGCTTCTGGGGATGAAGCTCCCACAGAATAATAGTAGATAATAATAGATTAACAGAGATTGAAAGGAACCTTGGAGGTCATCTAGTCCAACCCCGCCCCCTGCCCAAGCAGGAAACCCAAGTGAAGCGCCTGGAGGTGAGGGGAAGGGGTGAAAAGGGTGGAGGGACTCCCTCCTCAAACGGGCAAACCTTGGCAGGCAAAAGGCCCTTACTGATCTTACAGATTAACAGAGTTGGAAGGGAACTTGGAGGTCATCTAGTCCAACCCCCCGCCCAAGCAGGAGACCCTACACCATTACTGACAGATTGGCAGTCCAGGCTCTTCTTGAAAGCTTCTAGGGATGAAGCTCCCACAGAATAACGACAGATAAATAGAGGTTGGAAGGGACCTTGGAGGTCACCTAGTCCAACCCTGCCCCCTGCCCAAGCAGGAGACACCAATTCTGACAGATTGGCAGTCCAGTCTCTTCTTGAAAGCCTCCAGGGATGAAGCACCCCGAAGGCAAACACTGATTACGCCAACATTAAGCCCAGATCAAACATCGCTTCGTAGGAGAGGTTAGTCCTCCATTCATTAAGCGACCGTTCAAAGTTACGACGCTATTGGAGGAAAAGGGACCTAGGACCGCGTTTCGCACCAATGACCATTGCAGACTGTGGTCACGTGACCGAAATTCAGACGCCTGGCCAACTGACTCGTAGTTATGACGGTACCCAGGGTTGCGCGATCCCCATTTTGCGACCACCTGACAAGGGTAGGGGGGAGCTGGATTCACTTAATGCCCGCGTTAACAACGGCAGTGATTCCATCCGTCAAGGAAGTTTGGGACGGTTTGGGTTTCTTCAGCGACAGACCGAAATCCGCGATCGTGCGCGGTTTCGATCTGTGCTCGCTGCTGGAGCGCCCCGATCCTTTGGATTCGGGGCTGAAGCCACTCCGTAGAGGTGGTGAAAGAGGGGGGAGATTGCTAGCCGAGTGGAGGGGAGCCACGTCTCTCCTCCTTGCCTGGTCTAAACTCCCTTCCCCGAAGGCGGTTGCGGCGGTGGTCAGAAATGGCCACCTCAAAGAAGAACCCAACTGGAGAAGATTGTGCAGGAGGAAGACGAAGAGGAAAGCAGGTCAGACCGGGCTAAACAACAGAGAACATCGAAACAAGGTACCCTGAATCTAAAAGTACTTAGAGGGATACTTCTGAAAGAAGATTTCTAAGCGGCGAAGGAGAAAAGGAGGTTAAAACCCCCTTTTTAAAAACCTTGATATTGACAATTACAAATGGTATGGACAGAAATTTATGTTAATCTATTTTGACACTAATAGGCAACTTTAAGCTGAAATCTGTGTGTCAAAAGGAGAATAAAGATGTTTTTTTGGTCATTTTAAAGCCCTAAAAAGGAGAAAGGAGTGGAGGCAAAAGGGTGGGATTGGGAATAATGGAAAAATGGAGTGCCACCTGGAAAAATAAAGAGTCTTTGAAAAGATTCCCAAGGATTCATTGTAACTGAAATCTTATTAAAAGATGGAGTAACCCCGCGGAAAGGAAAAGGAAAGGAAAGAAACAAGAAGGAACAGTCTGGGATCATTTGGTGATTTAAAAACAAAAGTTTTTGGCATTGGTTTTTTCTTTCTTTTTCTGTTTTTACTTAAAGTCAATCGGGTGGTTGTTCAAAAGTGTTTAAAATGCCGTCACAGGAATTGAAGATGAGCCTTAAAAAAACAGAAAGAAGATGCAGAAAGGGGAGGAAGATCCTTTGGCTTCGTATTTGAATTTCTTGAAATGGAGATCCTGAACTATGAAAAGCAGAAGGGAAAGCTTCAAGAGCAAGAAGAAAGAAGAGCGGGACAAAGAAGAAGCCATTTTCAAGGATCAAATAATGCAAAGTGTGATTAAAAAGGGGGAAAAAGGAGTTAAAAGTTTGAGATCAAAGGGAACAGCCCAAAAGAAAAATAGTCCAAACAAGAAGTATAACAGCAAGAAGCAGAAAAGAAAACTACAGAAGGGAAAATTAGAGAGAGAAGGGTATAAAAAAAAGGGATGAGAAAAAGAGTGGGGCGAAGAGATAGAAAGGGAAAGAATTTATAAGGGACAAAAGCGGGAAACAAAGAAAAAGGGGAAACGTACTGGGATTAAAGGTATTTGCTCAGCTAGAAAACACAGAGACAATGGCTAAATTAAGTGAAAAGTGGGGATTCTGCAAAGGTACAAAAGATAGTGTTTGTGACAGTAGAACACTGTAATGAGGTAGAAAAGAAATAAGTAAATAATCTATGAGATAAAATTGTATTGTTATGTAGTGGTATGTTTATTTATAATGCAATAATATTCTAAAGATTGATAAAATAAAGAAATGTGAAAGATTTATAAGGAAATTTATACCAGTTACTAGAATAAATTTGAATAATTATTTTGCTTATTAATAGTAAATAATTTATAAGATAAAACTGTATGGCTATCCAATGATATGCTTATTAACAATTAACGTAATAATGAAGAAGGGAGGGAAACATTTCAATTGTTCTCAAAGATTGATAAATATTGAAAAGAAACGTGAAAGATCTACAAGGCTCATACCAGTACTAGAATGAATTTGAATAACTATTACTAACGTTTGTTTTCGCGGGTACTTACATGTATGGTATTCAGCTTTGTTCGGGTATTTTCCCACGTCATTATAGTTGTGCTTTTAAAGTTGTAGCAACGTTTCGGCAGAATCTCATTTACAACTTTAAAAGCACAACTATAATGAGGTGGGAAAATGCCCAAACAAAGCTGAATACCATATATATATATACATACATACATACATACATACATACACACACACACACATATATATATATTGTTTTTGCTATGTTTTTAGAATTTTTCTTTTTACATTTTCAAGGGGAAGTACCAAGCAGAGTCTGAATGATGAGATTTACATGATATAAAATATATATTAGAAATTTGAATGTTATAATTTTAGAATGCACAAATTTAATGTCTAATGAGATTTCATATGAGAATAACAATAAGACCTAAAGGTGTTGCACTCCGATTGGCAATCATAGGGGGAATTTTGCTTTTTAAGAACGTTGGAAGAGAACATATGAAATTGTAAACAAGACAGACGAAAGTATAAGTAAATAAAAAGATATAGAAATTGAGGTAAAAGAAATACAATTGAATAAGAAGAAAATGAGATAACCATAAAAGAAAATTAAGGGAAGCAAAGGGAGAAATAGTGAGAAGTTGGAAAAAGAGTAATAAGATATGAAGTTGAATATATAAGATGAATATGCATATGAAATTGTGTCTATATGGAAATGTGATAACCTGGAACCATGCTGTACTCAAATAAGATGTTTTATTTGTTTTGTTAAAACTCAATAAAACTTTATTTAAAAAAAAAAGGAAGTTGGGACGCAACTCGCTTAAGAACTGTCTCGCTTAACGACCGAAATGTACGGCTCCGTTGCAGTCATAAGCCAAGGATTACCAGTAAACAAGATTCCTCTTCCATCCCACCCCGCAAAATTCATTATTCTTCCCAAGCAGACCTCCCTTCCTCCGACCCCAAGTTAACAGATAATCAGAGTTGGAAGGGACCTTGTCGGTCATCTAGTCCAACCCTCAGTTAGTTCCCTAACGCGGGGTTATCAGGACGCGCTAAGACAAGAGCTTAAAAAAAGGTTAGAGCAGGAATGGTCAGACCCATGCATGTTGAGGCATGCTGCAATGGGGGGGGTACTGCCCCCCCCTCAAGCTCTGCCCTCCTCCCTCCCCCCCCCAGCATGCTTGGGGTTAGGCGTAACACGGCTGCGTTACTGGGAAAGCTGAGACAGTCCATTCCTGCTTACAGCTTATTCTTGCGTTTCTGGTACTTGGACACCACGTCCTGTAAACTGGAGAATTGGGTTGAGGGAGAAGGAATTGGGGGTGGGGGGCGGAGAGGGGAAAAAGAAAGCAAAATAAAATTCACGGCAAACAAAAACATTTTTATAAAAAAAATAAGTAATCCACTTGGAAGGAAGGGGAAGGAAGGAAGGGCGTAAGGGAGCAAGAAGGAGAATTGGACAGAAAAGGAGGAGGAGGAGGAGGAGGAGGAGGAGGAGGAGGAGGAGGAGGAGGAGGAGGAGGAGGAGGAGGAGGAGGAGGAGGAGGAGTGGAAGAAGGAGAAAGAGGAGAGAAAGAAGCTGAAGGCGAGAAGAAAGACAAAAAAGAGGAGGAGGTGGAAAAGGAGGAGTAAAAGGAGAAAGAGAAGGAGAGAAAGGAAGGAGAAAGGGAGAAGGAGAGGAGAAAGACAAAAAAGAGGAGGAGGTGGAAAAGGAGGAGTGGAAGACGGAGAAAGAGGAGAGAAAGAAGCTGAAGGAGAGAAGAAAGACAAAAAAGAGGAGGAGGTGGAAAAGGAGGAGTGGAAGAAGGAGAAAGAGGAGAGAAAGAAGCTGAAGGAGAGAAGAAAGACAAAAAAGAGGAGGAGGTGGAAAAGGAGGAGTAAAAGGAGAAAGAGAAGGAGAGAAAGGAAGGAGAAAGGGAGAAGGAGAGGAGAAAGACAAAAAAGAGGAGGAGGTGGAAAAGGAGAAGTAGAAGGAGAAAGAGGAGAGAAAGAAGAAGCTGAAGGAGAAAAGAAAGACAAAAAGAGGAGGAGGTGGAAAAGGAGGAGTAAAAGGAGAAAGAGAAGGAGAGAAAGGAAGGAGAAGGAGAGGGAAAAGACAAAAAAGAGGAGGAGGTGGAAAAGGAGGAGTGGAAGAAGGAGAAAGAGGAGAGAAAGAAGCTGAAGGAGAGAAGAAAGACAAAAAAGAGGAGGAGGTGGAAAAGGAGGAGTAAAAGGAGAAAGAGAAGGAGAGAAAGGAAGGAGAAAGGGAGAAGGAGAGGAGAAAGACAAAAAAGAGGAGGAGGTGGAAAAGGAGGAGTGGAAGACGGAGAAAGAGGAGAGAAAGAAG